TGGTCAGAGAGATAGTCACAGGGAGGATAATTTTCACAGCGCTCGTGCATCTGCTCCATTGGATTTTTATAATACTCGAAGTACCTGGAGTAGACAAAGACAGAGATACCATTCTGCAGATTCAGTCAATGCAGTTGGAGATGGTTCACGCACCTGATACTGACATGAAAGGAGTGATACTCCAGGGTGCCCCAACAGAGGATTGCTCATGCTGAGTTAAATATCTAGTTAAATATCTACTTACATATAACCAGGCTACTTGATCAATGTTGGGAAACAAACAAACAAACAAACAAACAAACAAGATATTGAACCCAACACAAAGCAATTGCTCTGGAAATTTCATCAGCAAAGGAGGCCACAAAAGCAGTTAGAGTCTGGGGGGTTTTTTGCCTTCAATCCCATTCCCCAGCTACGCAGATAAATTTTTTTGTTGTTAGTATTATTAATTTTATTACATATTTATTCTTTATTTCCTGCTTGCATTTATTTTTATTCAGTTTCTACTCACTTTCCCACTAGCCATTATTTTCCTTTAGCTTTATCACTTTTCTCTCATCATCCTCACTTCTGTTGTAGACAACAACACTAGCCCCACACAGCTAATTTTTTTTTTTTTCCCCCAGGATAAGCATGCCCAAATCTTTTAGTCTCAGCTCTGGATGCCCTTCTTAGGTCTTCTTCTAGGTTTGATTAATCTTTCCTGAAGACTGTACACAACATCACAGGAGTCTCACCACTACCTCATGAATTTTTACTTTATTTCTGTATTGTAAATACTCTGCTGCATGTTGTTGAATTCATATTTCTGGATCAACCTTATCTCATCATCAACTAATACACCAGGATGTCTGTCTACCCCTGTCCTTCCTAATAAATGCTTAGAGCAGAAGTTACTTTTACAATGCCCCACCTGTAAGGGGGTTGTCAGTACAGACAGTACAACTGCTGCTACTGAATTTCATCTTGATTTTAATCACTGCAGGTTTCACCATCAGCTCAGTCCTCTGCTACAATACCGTGATCCTTCCCTCTACAGATGGGGCCTCCCAGTCTTCTATTATCTAAAAACAACATTACCCTTCCAGTCCAAAGATGGATTGAATAAAAATCCCGTGTAGGCAGGAGAGTACGTTCACAACCCCTTCCAGGAAACATATGAAGAACACCCTTGCATTACTTCAAATTTTTCAAATAGCTAGTATTTCTCCAAATCTTTATCTCGGCACAAGTAGATGTATGATCTTCATCTTTAGAAAGAACAGCCACTCTGATCTATCCTCATTCCTGCAACAGAGCTGTGCTTCCTTTGCAGGAAGCCAGAGGCAATGACCAAGCTTCTGTGATTCTCGTTATCCTGGAAATTGGTTCTGATGACCCTGTAGGTTAGAGCAGCTTCTAACTTGTATACTTCTGTCCCCATTGCTAGCCCAGACAGTTAGGATTGTCTTTCTCCCTGGGAGGAATACTGGAGTCAAGCTATGAGCTCTCAGAATGGTATTAATGCAAAAATAACCATTTATCCATTACTGTATCCTACAACCTTTTTCCTCCAAAGCATGAAGGTAATAACATAGATGTACTACAAAATAATGCCTTTTCATGTCCTATTGCCTTCCCTCCCCCTCTTCCAAACAGGTCCAGAGTCCAGCGCTCAGCCCAACTCCTGAGTCATTACCGTTCATAGAGGCTGGATCTCTTCTGTCTCTTCACAAAGGCATTGGCAACTTCTTTTTTAATCTTGATGCCTACCAAGAGAGAGCACTGCAGGTTAGAGATCAGGGCCATGGTCTATGAAACACAGAGACCAGTCTAACCTCTGAAAATGGAAAGTCTACTCTCTTCACAAGCAGATGACTGTTACATAGCATTCTAATGGCCTGTTCATCTCTCCCCACCACACTATCCTTTCAAAGCCCAGCAGCTGGGCTCTCTCTTCACTGCAGCCTTCACATCTCCATGGAGCAAAGGCTTTTTCTGTTATAAACTCCATTCCCTTATCATACAGCATGATCTGAATCCACAGCAAATGTGCAGAAGGCATAAAATATGAATAAGGAGAAAAGAGAATGGCACCCTCTCTGCCTGGTCTGCTTAACTTCAGAGTCTTGGCTTTCTTTCTATATTGTGATTCAAGTGAGAGTGATATGGGATACCAACCACCAGACCTTAAATTGCTTCCAATAAGCCATAAGCAACAGGCAGTAACACCAATGCTCACATGTACAGGGTTCCATGAAAGGTAGAGAGTACAACATAGTGACAGTAAACATCACGCAGGGAGAAATACACCCAGGGAGAAATACACAAGATTCCAGTGTTCAGGACCTGGAGAACATGACAGATCTTTCAGCTAAAACAGGATTTGCTCCTGCTCTCCACTAACACGCCATTACTTGTTGCTTATTTGCTCCCTTGATTCGTGGTTGTGCAAACATTATGGTGCTTTGAAGCCCCCCACAAACTTGAGGCATTTCATTCCCCATCCCCATCCAGGGCTCAGCACAGCACAGCCTCGCTCCATGGAATCATCCCACACCAGCAGAGGTGTGCAGAAATGCTGGCACAGAAGCCGCACAGGCAGCTGCACACCAATACTCACTTCAGCATGGAAACCAGAATGTCAGTCATTGCTGTCACTGGGGGAAAGAAGATTCTAAGACCTCTGTCTGTGGGGAGATGGTGGAGTTTGTTCCTTCCCTCGTCATCATTAAGTGTTTGGCTGTTTCTCTTTGGAGGTGAGAGGTATGCCCTCTCTAGCAAGCTGAGGTTTAGTCTGGATCAAAATACTGACTACACAGAAACTGCCAATTAATGAGCTGTCAGAAACCACCACCTTTCCCTGAACACTCTTTACACTGCTTTTTTTTTTCTTTCCCAATCTGTGTTTGTATTGGCTCACTGGAAAAATACCAGCTTTCATGCTCCTCAGCAGCAATGTTATCCTTTAACGTGTGAGAAAGGAGAGTCAGGGGAGAACGAAAGGGATTTTCCATACAGATTTCTGCCAGGATCAGCTTGCTGCAAAAACTGTGAACACCCCAAGGTGTGCAAATCCCCATGTCCCAGGTGACGGACAAGAGGAACTGCAAATCCCTCATGTTGTGGGATTTGGCAGGGATGCCACAGTCCATTGCCATGGGCAGGTTCTGCTCCCTCAACAATCTGGGGACACAGCAGTCACTCTGGATAGGCCTCGAAAGCCAGCTCAGAGCAGGGTGATGGGCCATGCTGCTCCACCAACACAAACCTGTTTCACAGAGTGTAGATGCATCCAGCAGCTAACAAGCTGCAAGACTCATGTGATACCAGAGGATTGCTCAGGGATTGTGGAGATGCAGGCTATGGCACTAGCACACCCGGAGCAATGCTAGCCTGTAGGGACAGTGACCCCCCTCATGTCACCTGCTCAAGTGTGAAAGGTAGCCCCCCTATTTGCTGCACCTTGGGGACTGCAGCACTCGGGGAGCAAAAAGAAAACAGCTAGAGGGACTCAGCATGGTTCCTCTTCAGCCCTTGAACCTGTCAAAGGGGAGAAAGGAGGCAGTGCTATACTCACTGTCAGCGCTGAGAGATCCTGAAGGCTCTTTGGGATCTGGAAGACAGACAGACAGACAGAAAAGAGTCTGCTTGGGCTGATTTAGACTATCCTCCTCTGCTGTACTCTGTAACTGAAACATACCACTGACTAGCTGGGCCCAGCTCGCCCCACTTACCTAGAAGGTCTGTTTCTCCCAAAAGAGTTTTATTAACACCCACCATTTAGAGACAGACTTCACCAACACGGCAAAATTCGTCCATAATGTCTCAATTTGTTTAATTTCAACTTCCTCTGAGACAGGTTAAATGACACAACAAACATATAACCACTGTGAAAGGAGGAGAAAAACCTTACTCCTTCTCCCTTCCCACCCTTACTAAGAGTAGGGACAAGTAGAGCTAGGGGACCATTTGAACAACCCCCCCCCCAGTTTTGACAGAACATGAATACAGCTTAGTGTCTCCTCTCTCTTTGGAAGAGGTACATTTCCTCTGGAGGGAAATCACAAGCCATTGATAGGGAAGAGGAATAGATCCAAAAATTAGCAACATCTCTGTCCTCACAGCTTTCTGGCATGAGATTGAGGTACCTGGCCCACCAGCTCTCTCAAGAGCAATTTACACACAGTATTTCTGTATTCAATCCTGATCTTAATCTGTGGTGCCCCCTGCAAACGCAAGAAAAGCATCCTCTAAGAGCTCCTAACCTGGGCTCTCACACACTGCTCTATTTCACAATTTTTTTCTTCCACTGTTTCACCATACCTTTTTCCAACAGTATCAGTTCCACCCAAGCCACCAGGTATTTGGCACAACTGTATTTATTGGCACAAAGAGGAACTCCAGAGACAAAAAAACCCCCAAAACAAAAACAAAAAACCAAACCCACAGACAAACAAACAAAACCACAAAACAAGCAACCAAAAAAAAAACCCACACAGTAAAAAAAACCAAAAACAAAACAAAAATTTTGTGCGAAAAGTGCTATATGTAGTTCTATTTTTAAGCAATGTATGCACTCCTTTGATTTAAGATAAAATAAAATTAGGAGTTACTCCTAGGCCATTAAGCATTCTGGAATATAACAATGACAAAAAAAAAAAAGGCAGATATGTACTTGAGTGAAAAAGTAAGAAAGAGAAGGAAAACACTGATTAAAAAATATATTTGCCAGAATTGAATCATGACATATCAATGCCAAGGACTGAACAGAATTTAAATCAGAATGAGGTAATACAGAAAAAGACAGATCTCTCTCCTGATCAGTTGCATTTCTTGATGTAAAGGAAAGCACTCATTTTTCAGATCTTTCCCCTCTTCCCTCTCTCTTCATCAATTATTGAGCTGCCACTATATTACTATCTTTTCATCATGCAGTCACCATCACTAAATCACCTTCAAATGTGATGTGCTCATCTCAGTGGGACAACTCACTGTTTTTTAAACAGGAATAAGAAGGTGTATTTCCCTCCAATTCTCCACATCCTACATTTACCTGCAGGGGGAAGCTTGACTTGGTGCCTATCTCTGTGATCCTACAGCACTCCAGGACTGGCAAGGCACAAAATCCCTATCCCTGTGGCTGACACAATTCTGCCTGCAGCTCAACCCTCTTACTCAAAAGTGAGCATCCAGCATACCTTTGTCACTTCACCTAAACGATAAACTTGTTTAATTCTTAAACATCATAAAATGTTCAAGTTCTCTGCTGCAATTCAATAAGCAACTGAGGTGGGGGCTGAGTGGATGTTGACCAGTGGAAGAAAGTGTCTGGCAAAAGATGGGTCCCTCTGTTCCCAAGCCCTGTCTCATCCCTGACTATCTCTCTAGCAGAGATCTGAAGTTGTACAATGACTGGTGGTACATCTCCTCCCCACCAAAGCTGTCCCAGAGTAAAGGGAGGCTGGTGGCAAGTTGCAGGGTTGAGCAGTGATCCCAAGAGCCTTCCTGGGAAGATGTCCCCTTACCTTTCTCACAACAGCAGAGTGCTGCCACGGCCAGAGTCACGATCAGCAGTGCCAGCAGACTCCTCATGTCTTCTTTGGCTGTGCTAGTCTCCCTAACCTCAGAGCTTTCCTGGAGGTTACTGAAGTTCTCCGGGGCTTGCTTTTGGGCAGCAGTTTATATCCTGTGATTGCTTGGAAAGATCGGGGAACTGGATTGTGTTCCTGTGTCTGCACTCCAAAACAAACCCGTCCTTTGGGCCAGGGGATACTGGATCCTGGCAGTCATTTTGACATCCATCTCAGGACTCGAGGCATTTCCAGAAGATTTTATCAGAGGTTTCGAATGGGACTGTTGAAGAAAAACAACTGGATTTAAAAAAAAAAAAAAAAAAAAAAAAAAAGTAATCTTTCTTATAACTTCAAAGTTACTCAGTTATGTTAGAAAGGCAGGAGAGATGCCAGGCACACCCAGCGGTGACCCTTTTCCCCACCCCTCCTTGACTCATTCCCCTGAAGGTAAAGAAACATGTAAAACAGTTTGCATAGGGCAAACACAGTAGATTTTCAGACAGTTTCACAGTTTCACCGAAACCACTTTGCAGAGATGAGATTTTTACACTGTTGAGAACTTTGGAAGTTAGTTTGAAGGAGGCTCTTTCTTTTTTCTCGCTGGAAATCTTCCGAGTTTCAAAGCTTTATTTTGACTTTTCTTGTCTAAAAATGAAATAAAGATTGAGACTCTAAAAGTGTTTTATTCTTCGGGATTGCAGTGGTTAAAGTTGCTTGGTACATCAAGAGCTTTGTAGGGGCTCTCCTACAGCCTATCTATCAATGACCCCCAACAATCCCAAACCCACTATCCAAGTTCCCAAAGCCATGTCTCACAAACAGCACAGTACTCATAATCTTCCTCCACTTTCTATCCAGTCTTCCTCAGACCCATGTGCAGGGGATGTTTCCAAGGGTTACAGAAGTACAGTTTAAAAGGCTCCCAAGGACAGTCAGAGCCATTAGGGATTTTGCCAATTATTAGAAACAGTCTTTTATCTTAAAGAATTTTCAGGATGAAAAAAACCCAAAGTTAATTTCTCTACAGTCCAGGAAAGATGAATATATATATACTAACAACTTATAGCAGAAGTTGTTGTATATATATTATTACAGCAAAAGAGCAAGAGTTTAAAAATAAATAAATATCTAAAAATAATAGGTATTCTAGGAAAGTTGTGCTTCCAGATGAATACTTGAAATAAAATAAATAAATAAATATACAATTCTAGTAATTCAAATAGCTTTATTTGTCTTCTCAGTTTTTCCCAAGCTTTCTTACCAGCATGTAGTCTCTTAAAACTGTTCAATTATTGCTCACGCTAATGAAATCCCACAGAAATCACTGGTATTATTCATTATTTATACTGCTTAACAGGCGGTTGGAATCACAAGATATTTGTGGACACAGACCCAGCATTAGCCCTGTGCCTTCTGTTTTGGTGGTGTCAAAGTGTCAAGTCAAACCCAGACACTGCAGACTTGTTGATTTTAGGGTATGCAAGTTTGCTCTGGTTGGTGATCATAAGATTTACTTCCTTGGGAACATGCAGAGCAAGTGTGGGTGTGAATATACCTAATACAAACAGGGTTTTTTCCTTAAACTCATTTATCTCTCACTTTTTCCCTTGGACAAAACTTTAGCAACAGGCAGGATAGAGTTTCCTATCAGAAGTGTTTTCAATAAATAAATAAATCAATCACATTTCTTTCCAAAAGTTCAGTTTCAAAGCTGACAAAGCTTTGAAGTATATTTTGGAAGATGCATATTTCTAATATGCCAGGTAGATTTGGCTCTAGACTTAATTTCACAGATTAGTCAACAACTTAATACTTTATACTTCATAGCCTTTGATAGCACGCCATGAACCTTTCCCACTTCTATAATTTACAGGTGCCTGTGTGAGCCTGGAGGCATAAATGTTCAAACTATCTGTGCTGAGATGAGATAGATGTTATGTCTCCTACACACCACACACCAAGGAGCGTCCCAGCCGCTGTGGTTGCTGACCAGCCCAGAACAGTACTGACTTCTTGGGCACATCAGCACTGGTGCTGTCTGGCCTGGGGACAGGCTGTGCAAGGTGCCCCGGTGATGGCGGTGGTGACAACCCAACCGCAGTCATGCTCACTCCTCAGTGGTCCAGGAGGTGCTCAGCAACAGAGCCAACACATCTTGGTTTCAAATGATTTGTGGACAGTAAACCTAAATTGTTCTATGTAAACAAAATTGGACCTGACCCCAAAACCTGGGTTTCTTTTATTTGTTTGTTTGCCACCAAGACCCCTCTCCACCATTGGTTTCTGCAGTCTTCTAGTGCTGCCAGAATCATTCCAAGTGGAAGTAAGGGGTTTGAAAGGGGATTGCAAAAGGAAATATGAGTTAATACGAGTTAAGTCTGAACCACACACTCCTTTCTACAGGAGTACCTACCCTACATCATGACCTGATGGTAACTGGATAAACAAGAAGAAATTTAGAGGCTTTTTCTGTCACCAACTCTCACCCTGACTTTGGTTTTAAGATTGAATAGGTGCCTTCTAAATTTTGTTTCCCCAACTGATGAAAGATACAACAGATTTAATTTTCAAGAAGTGCCTTCTGAACACCACTGCATTATAAGATGTCTTAAGACTGGGAGCTGAGATTGGCCAGTGACCTCTGAAAGAAACAACTTGTAGACCCTGCAACAAAAACACTGTAGATCCTTTCAAATTCACATGATTGCAAGGTAGTAATTTTTTCCCCAGAATCTATGATAAACAAACTCAGCTTCTTCATGGAAAATTGCACACCCCCTTTAAAAATACTGTGACTCATGAGAAGATAGTATCAAACCAGCAATTTATTGTGTAGTAAACACCCACATCCTGAACTCTCTCTGATCTCTGCTACATCAGCTCAGCACTAATTAACACAGTGTAGGAATCCATGGCTACATGGGAGAGAAGCAGCAGGCAGGATAACATACAGGAACACAAGCAACTGAATATGTTTCAGAGCCATTGCATTTTTTGGGAGGATACCCTGGACTCCAGGCCCCAGGGCAGGGACAGATCATCCTTTACTTAGTCCTCCTCTTCCCAAAATAGTGCTTGTAAGCAGCAGCATAGCCATGGCGATAAGCGTACAGTTCACAAGGGTAGTAGTCCTCGCAGATCTCCCTCTGACGTTCATGGGAGGCCTTAGTACGCTCCCTGATCCTGTAAAAGTAGGAGAGATGAGGGGTAAGTGCTGTCATCTTAAATGTCTGCCTACAGCCCTTTCCTGTCCCACAACCCTGGCCTCCCAGGATTAAGGGTCCATCACCAGAGTCCATTATCCAGCTACAAAGATCTTGGCACACTGACTTCTGTGTTTACTACACCCAGGTGGTGATGTGACTACAGCAGGAATGTTTTGCCTCCTCAGGTAACCTTTTGTTTCAGGGCTAAGTAAGGTGGTAGAGAGAGGGGAATGGCTCCTGTCCCAGCCTGAGGAAGGGTCCTCCCTTTGCAGCCTACCTCAGTCTACTCCCTTCAGCTCTACCTCAGAACCATACATGGAACAAAGACCTAAAACACCCTGCAAAGGGGTAACCTGGTACACAGGAGGTTTGCTTTGATGCCTCGCTAAGAGATGACTTCTGTGCTTCAGTCCTTATTTTCACAAGCCTTGCATGACGCATGAAATTGCCTATATCCATATTTTACGGAGGAGGCAAGGAGGCCCTCGGATGGCCCTGTGATTTAGAAAAGGTCATGCAAGTTCTGCTTGAGATCTGAGGACTAGAACAAGATCTCAAACTGAGCTTTCTTTCCGATCATCCCACACTCATTCCCTCTCCTTCTGTTGGTGTTTCCTTTAGAAGAATCAATCAGTCTTCCTAGAACATGACATGCCCCCAAACCAAAGGACATGTTCTCTGTTATCTGAATTCTTGCTTCTCCCAGGATTGAGGACTTCAGGGATACCTCACATTGAGAGACGGACTGAGGCTTCTCAGGAGTCACCATGGCTGCCACCTTTGGTACCAGCCTGTGCTTAGCAAGGAGGAACCTCTCCCCACTCCCATCCTTAGTGTCCTTAGTACATAACATACCTCTCCTGAGTGATGGCTCCTAGTCTCGTGTCAGCTTGTATGAAGTCACTGGCCCTTCGCCTATTGATGAAGGGATCTGAGAAGGCAAGGAGTTATTCAGGATAGAGAGAGACACTTTTCCAATGCCATATTGCAACAAAAGCTAGCTTTCACCTTTATAACAGCCTCCTTGTCTGCCCTCCTATGCACAGTGAAACCCAGGACCTTTTAAATTCCCTCCTGTTACCCCTGCTGGCTCATGCACAGGCTCTCCCCGTGGTTGGTGCAGCCTGTATGGAAATGCACATACTGCTCTTGCTCTGCTGTTACTCAGGTCACCGAGGGGAATGCTACTGTGATTTTGCTGCCACAGCTCTTCTAAGTTGCACAGACTGTGGGAAATCTGTACACACTCAGAATTACAAGAATAGTGAAATTACAGGTAAAAACAGGAAGGGCCTGAGTAAGTCTCTCTGCCTTTAAGGTTAGGCAGTCACTGACCAGTCTGTGTGGTAGTTTTGGATTGAGTTACCAGAAGGTCCCTTCTGACCTTTTTGAGATATATGACAATCCCGTTGCAGAGTTCAGGAGCCTGTGGATATCTTTGATATTGGCTCCCACATGTGCCTTTGTGCTTCTAAATATCTGCTTTGTGAAGCCCTTCTTCTAGATGTTCAGGTTTTTTTAGTTTCGGTCCATCTCTCTAACCTCTCCAGGATATTACTTGTTGCAGAGTGAGACCACCCTTTCATGCTTTTTCTGTGACACACTCTTCCAGCAGGATCCCCCTACCCATACATCCCACCTGCTTCCAAGGTGCTTAGGGTAAGGTTCTCCTTGTTCTTGGGAGAGAACAAATTTTGTAACTGGCTTCTGCAGTGCCTCTTCCCGTACCCATACCAGAGCTTTTTGAGCCATGTCCTTTTCTAGTGTCAGTTAACCTGGTTTTGGTACATGCAACAGAGACCTAAGCTCTGTTTGCCAATTTTGTTTTCCAATTCACATTATATTCTATGCAAAATAGTGGTATCACCTTGTGCCGATATATGTGAAGTCCTTTTTTAA